TGTCCAATGCAATATGTCATTTGATTTCTTGACTGCTGCTTCCATGGGTGTTGATTGTGATCCAAGTAAAATGAAATCCTTGACAACTTCAATCTTTTGTCTGTTTATCATGATGTCGCTTATTGGTCCAGTTGTGAAAATTTTTGTTTTCTATATGTTGAGGTGTAATCCATACTGAAGGCTGTGGCCTTTGATCTTCATCAGGAAGTACTTCAAGTTCTCTTCACTTTCAACAAGCCAACTTGTGTCATCTGCATATTGCAGGTTGTTAATGAGTCTTCCTCCAGTCCTGATGCCGCATTCTTCTTAACAGTCCAGCTTCTTGGATTATTTGCTCAGTATACAGAATGAAGAAGTATCGTGAAAGGCTACAACCCTGACACACATCTTTCTTGAATTTAAACCATGCAGTATCCCCTTGTTCTGTTCAAATGACTACCTCTTGGTCTATGTACAGGTTCCTCATGAGCACAATGAAGTGTTCTGGAATTCTGATTCTTCCCAGTGTTATCTGTAATTTGTCATGATCCACACAGTCAAATGCCTTTGCATAGTCAACAAAACACAGGTACACATTTTTCTGGTATTCTCAGCTTTCAGCCACGATCCATCTGACATCAGCAGTGATATCCCTCGTTCCAAGTCCGCCTCTGAATCAGGCTTGAGTTTCTGGCAGTTCCCTGCTGATGTACTGCTGCAACTGCTTTTGAACGATCTTCAGCAAAATTTTATTTGTGTATTATACTAATGATATTAGTGATAATGCTCATAATTATTACTTATTTTTAATTCAAATTCATGTCACAGTGATCTATTCCACCCCTGCTTCTTTTTCCAAGCCCAAGGATAATATGATCCCATAAATAGAATGTCTTTCCCTATGATGCTAGTTTGATCACAAAATAATATTGACATGGTGGCAGGAGTCACGTTAACTTTCTGCACTTGGTTGATCTCTCTGATACCCCAGCAAGTATAAAATACAACTCTTACCTATTACTTCTCTTCTATCATAAACCTTCAATGGCTCTCAACTGCCAAAGAAGTAAGTACAAATTCCTTAGCCAGATATTTAAGGTCCACAAACTTCCTCTCCCATTACTAATGTCCTGCAGGGTCAAAACCACACATTCTACTTCTTCCCTGCCTCCATGCCTTGGCCCATGCTCATCTGCCTACAATGCCCTACACTTCCATCTTATCTTCTTAAAATCTCCACCTTCGTCCCAGCATATATGTGTTCATACTAAAAGAATAGACTTGAGAAGGTAGAATAACAAGCTAATTGGGAGTAGCTGGTATATAATCAAGGGTAATTTTAATCAATTCATTGCAGAAGGAAAAATACAGTAAGAGTTGAATTGGGGCTTTATTGCAACCATATCTCATACTAAGACATAGTTAAATGAACTTCTCATTTTTTAAAAAATTTTCTTTAGATGAAGTTTTACAGAACAAACTATCTTCTCAATAAACAGTACGCATATTGTTTTGTGACATTTGTTACCAACCCCATGACATGTCAACACTCTCCCCCTTCTTGAACTTAAGGTTCCCTACTACCAGCTTTCCTGTCCCCTCCTGCCTTTTAGTTCTTGCTCCTGGGCTGGTGTGCCCCTTTAGTCTCATTTTGTTTTATGGGCCTGTCTAATCTTTGGCTGAAGGGTGAGTCTCAGGAGTGACTTCATTACTGAGCTAAAAGGATGTTCGGGGGCCATACTCTCGAGGTTTCTCCAGTCTCTGTCAGGCCAGTAAGTCTGCTCTTTTTGTGTGTGAACTCTTCATTTTTTATTCACTCATAGATGTCATTAGGTGCTGTTGAGTCGATTTTGACTCGTAGTGACCCCATGTGATAGAGTGGAACTGCTCCACAGGGTTTTCTTGGCTGTAATCTTTATGGAAGCAGATCACCAGGTCTTTTTCCTGCAGAGCTGCTGTGTGGGTCCAAACTGCCAATCTTTCGGTTAGCTGCTGAGCTCTTAACTGTTGTGCCACGAGGGCTTCTCATTCACTCATTATATCAACAAATGTTTATTGAGCACCGAATATATGTTAAGAAGTATTTTCAACATTAGGGATGCAGCAGGGACCATGGTAAGGGTTTTAAACTTCATGCTTTGTATGAGGGTTTTGACTGTGAAGGACAGGATGCTATTTTTAATTAATTGCCTGCCACAGAATATTAGAACGGGAAGCACCCTAAAAGAATCCCCTATTCAGAACCTAGTCCCCTTCCTTTAAGCCCAAGAAATTAGAGCTCAAGAGATATATCTTTCCCAGATGACACAGTCAAGCAGAGATAAAGTGAAGTGGTAGAAAGGTACCCACATCCTATGTTTCCTGCCCACAAAAAGGCTAAATTCCCTACCCCTGAGGACAGTGATGACAACAGTGGCGACCAGTGTGAGGATGGAACCCACATACCTTGTCAAAGCAGATAAGGTTTAATTGTCCACATACATTAATCCTCTGGGGACTAATGCAGAAGATGCCTCTCTTCTTCAGCCTCCTCTGGGCGTAGATAATGCCTGTGGTCAGAGCAGCAGGTAGAGCAGGAGGAACCGCAATCGTGATGACATCAAGGGCTTTCTTCACCACCTCCTCAGGCGGTTCCTGCAAGATGAAATCATGCTGTAACTATTACAGACAAGTCAGTAATGGACAGCTTTGTGCATATGACTCTTTTTTTTCCTTCTCTTTTTGTTTATTTCTGTAGGTCAAATTCCTAAAGATGCCATCAGTGGGCCAAAGGCTACTGACATGTTTATAGCTCTCAATATATTTTGCCAAAGTGCAATGAATAAGATTATAACAATTCATACTTCCACCAGCAGTGAGCAAGGTGCCATTTTGCCATGACCTTGCCAACATTGGGTATCCAGGTTTTATTTTAAATCCCTCATTTAATATCTAAAAAATGCTACACTATCGGTATAAATATATTGTCAGTACAAAAATGGCAAACTAGTGTAAGGAAAGGTTTGAGGAAAAGTGTTCAAGATTAGAAGCATGCTGATATCCCACTGGATCTGATTATTATTATGGAACTTGGCAATTAATTACTTATATTGGGGACCTGGGAGCATATGAACAGGTTTCAGTGTTTGGCTTTGTTTCTCAGGCTTGTAAGCCATGCCCTAGTTTAAGGTCAACATGTAGAGTAAATAATATATATTGATGAGTGCATGTATGCATGTATTAAGAAAACAAAGCCAGCTTACCCCGCTGAGCACATAGACGCACAGGGTGTAGATCATCCCAATGGTAGCTGTCCCTACGAGGCACAGGAGGAACCTGGTGGCATCCCTGTAGAGCTTAAAATTCATTGGCTTGGGGTAGAGAATGGATCTCACGAGGTCCCCCTTTGCAGTGTTGAACCCTGCAGCAGCAAATACACATTCCACTCTCAGGATAACAAACACCACTGCCAGTGTTCCTCCAAACCTCAGCATTGCCCTGGCTTTTCTCTAGAGATACTTAAGCAGTGTTTAAACCCAAAGGCAACTGAAGGATAATTGGGAAAATACACTAGTGCGAGAATGGAAATATCTTACCTATCTCAGCCTACTACCCTCTTGCCTTACTTCCCTCTACTTCCAATTTCATTGCATACCACAGATAGGAAACCAGTATAAGAGCACAGGTTTTCTGAATATAATTTTATTTTAAGAAAACAACTCATAAGCACACACACACAAAGTCACTTGAATTTAAATTAAATGGTCCCATAAGTACTAATGAGCTCACTTTTCTAATACTTTCCAGTGTTAAGTTTTGGTTCCTACTGCCTAGGAAGAATGTAGAATTTGGAGTTAGAAGGCTTGAGTTCTAGATCCAGCTCTGTCAGTTACTGGCTGTATGATTTTTAAAGTTTCACTTGAATTGTGTGGCCCTCACTTCATTCCTGTACAAAGTGCTGACAATAGGCATCTTTGCTCTGCTGGTTTTATATGTGGGAAGAGTTGGTAAACTGCAAAGCACATAAGTAGTAATTATTGTAATTATTAATAATAAAAGTATTATTACTTTTTCTACAAGGCATATGTCATAATTCAATTGGCATTAAAAATATATATGTGTATTAAACAATACATATATTGTTGTTCTTGTGTGCCCTCAAGTCAATTTTGACTCACAGCGACCCTATAGGACAGAGTAGAACTGCCCCATAGGGCTTTCTAGGTTGTTATCTTTACAGGAGCAGATCTCCAGGGTTTTTCTCCCATGGAACTGCTGGGTGAGTTCGAACCTCTAACTTTTCGGTTAGCAGTGAGCACTTAACCATTGAGCCACCAGGGATATGTGAGATATATATATATATATACACACATACTATTTATATACATATTTATATACCTACATAAAAAACCAAAACCAAACCCATTGCCATCCAGTCAATTCCAACTCATAGCAACCCTATAGGACACAGTAGAACTGTCCCCATAGGATTTCCAAGGAGTGGCTGGTGGATTCAAACTGCTGACCTTTTGGTTAGCAGCCATAGCTCTTAACCACTATGCCACTAGGGTTTCCCCTACATACTGTATCTATATATAGATATAGACATATATTTGGCTTGTTATTTAAAGACAAACCAAATAAATTTGCTCCTTACCTAATCAATTTAAGGCACTAACAAAACTGCTTCTTTCAAAATAACAACACAAAGGAGAGCATGCTAACCAGTCTGTAGTACGACCGCTTTCACAGTCCCAGCACCAGCTCCCTTGGCCTGGATAACCTCCGTTCCGCAGAAGAGGACATGCCGTTTGTAATCTGATTCGCTCTGCATTTTCCAGGGTGCTGAGCTATCCATCTCGGGTAATGGAGTTTTGGTGACTGGAATACTTTCTCCTGAAGAAAACAAGCACCTCATTTTTTTAGGCAGGATGCCTTCATTCATTTAAATCATGCATTCATTCACATGTGATGCGACAAGTATTTGTTGTCAGCCCATCAGGTGGCAGGGACAAGCTAGGTATTTGGAATACAAGGATAAACACAGTCCTTGCTTTGAAGAGTTTTATAGTTTAAAGTAGGCGATAGATAAGTAATATATATATATACATATATACATACACACACCCACCCATCCACTGCCATCCAGTCGATTCTGACTCATAGGGGCCCCATAGGGTTTCCAAGACTGTAGATCTTTACAGAAGCAGATTGCCACATCTTTCTCCCATGGAGAGGCTTGTAGGTTCCAACCACCGACCTTTTGGTTGGCAGCCAAGTGCTTTAATCACTGCGCCACCAGGGCTCCATATATATATATATACACACACACACATACGTATAGTCATATTATGAATATGCGAGTATTATAGAATAAAGCATGGATGCCAAAAGAGGCTGGAGATAACTATTCTGGGAATAGCAAGCTATTGAGTCTAGAATGTGGGGTATGGGGAATAAAGGACCCATGAGAGCTGTGTAGGAACCAAAGCTTGGGAGGCCCTGAATGCATATATTTAAGCATTTTAAACTTTTTCTATAAGCACTGGTTACAGAGGGGTGTGGAAGATACTTAAATGTTTTAGTCAGGAAAGTGATATCATAATTAGATGTAGTAAGAGTTCTCTGTCTACAATACAGGAAGTGGATTGAAGTCTGGTGATGTGGGAGGCTGGACGTCCAGTGGAAAAACTATCACAATAGTCTCAGTTGGAGAGGATGAAGTCTGAATTACAATAGCTGGCAGCACAAGTAGAAAAGAAGTGCTGGGACTGAGAAATAAAGAAGCAAGAAGCTATGAAACTTGGAGAGATTTTGATATTGCAGGGAAAGAGGAATTTAAAATGGCTTCCTGGTTTCTGACTTGGGAGAATGAGCAGAGGGTGGTGTCGTTCATCAACATAGGGATTATAGGAGAGAAAGAATTACCTTGTGGCCACGGTGAGTTGGAGGTCACCTGTGGAATGACCATACCGAGATGTGTCATAAGCAGTTAGATATTTACTTGGGTCTGGAGCTCAGGGGAGAGGGCTTGGCTAGAGATATTTAGTCAGAATTCATCAGGTAATAGATGATGACTAAAGCCACAGGAAGAAACAAGATTTTTTGGACCAAGGGAATGATGAGAAGAAAGAAAGGACAAGAACACATCCTTGAGTCACACCAACAACTTGGAGCTGGAGGAAGAGGAGCAGCAGAAGACAATGAACGAGTGTGGAAGAACTTAGAGATAGCATTGTCTTGGAAAGTTAGGGTGAAGAGAATTTTAAGGAGGAAGAAGTGGTCAGAATAGTCAAATAAAGCAGATGAGAAACTTAAAGAACATGTTGAATCTGGCAATTGAGTCTGTCAACTTTGCCAGTGCAGTGGGAGGGGCAGATTGCAGCCAGTTGAAGTGCTAATAAAAGGTGACTAAAGTGGTGAAAGTAATTATGGCCTGTTCTGAGGGACAAAGCCCGGAAAGCTTCCCACTGGTCTTGGCAGAGTGGAGAGAACCAAGTCAGAGATATGTTCCCATGTGCCAGGGCCACTTTCTCACGGAAAATGTTACTGGCAACTCAAAATGTCCTAGCATTAAGAGGTTTTTATGAATCTATGGACTCCTGCATGGGCGAAAGATATGGCAGTCTGATCCCATAAATGTTACAGCCTTGGAAACCCTATGGGGCAGTTCTACTCTGTTCTATAGGGTCTCTCTGAGTCAAAATCGACTTGGCAATGGGTTTAGTTTTTGGGGGTGGATTCCTGAGGGAAGGAACCTGGACAGCTATGCATTTTTTTTTTTTTTTAATAAGTTCACATAGGAGGAAGATACATGTTGTTGTCTCCATTTCATGCCTTTCTGGTCTGTCCAGGAGAAACGAACTTGGACTTTAATGGGAACCATGGTACCTCAGTGTGCTCTCTCAGTCTCCCACTTCATTACTGAAAAAGACTTTATGATTCTTCCTTATCTTACAGATATGTAGGCACAATATCTCATCAGTATGGGTGTGTGAGTGGGAAACCAAAGCATGGTGACCTTGAGCAAGTCACTTTCCCTCTCTGGGGCTCAGTTTCCATATCCGTGAAATAAGACGACCTCTAAGGACCCTCCCAGCTACCACACGCTATTCAGAAATAAAATACAGCCACTCCAAAATACTGAGTGAGTATTTTGAAGGTAGCAGATTTGCCAAATGCTGCATCATGAACAGTTCAACATTTTCAAGCAGCTTTTCAACATTTTCAAGCCAGGCTAGGAAGAGCTTGGACTTGTCCTGTGGGTGTCAGGGGGTTCTTAATGGTCTTCAAACCCTCCAAGTTTATTTGAAGTTACACTTCATATAAAAATACTAAGCACAGAAGTCACAGACAATTCTGAAAGAACTAATGATCTCCACAATCTTTTAAAGTAAAATGAGCAGGTTTTAATAACCTTGTGTTCAAGAGGGATCCCTGGTGGCACAATGGTTAAGAGCTCAGGCTGCTAACCAAAGGGCTGGCAGTTTGAACCCACCAGCCACTCCTTGGAAACTCTATGGGGCAGTTCTACTCTGTCCTATAGGGTCACTGTGAGTCCAAATCAACTCGATGGCAACGGGTTATATGCTAAGTCTGATATAATCATAACTTTTTGCATGTTTTGCCTTTCCCTCTTGAACAGAAACCTGTTGCCATTGCCGTTGAGTCAATTCACAGTGACCTGATAGGACAGAGTAGAACTGCCCCATAAGGTTTCCAAGGAGAGGCTGGTGGATTCCAACTGTCGGCCTTTTGGTTAACAGCCGAGCTCTTAACCACGGAGCCACCAGGGCTCCAAACTTAGCACATGGAAAGCATCTTTAAACTCTCAGATGGATCCACAGCAGGACTGTTAACTAAGGCTTGTGGGAATAGAAACATCCAGTTTCTGACCACCCAGCCTGCCAAAGCCCAGTCCCACACACCCTCTGCTAGTGCCCACAGTGGACCCGAACGTTGCAGCGTATGTTTGTCATTCCCGAGGAGGAGACAGGCTGTGTGGGAGTGTAGTGTCTGAGCGAGCGGGCGGAGGCTTTAACTGAGGAGTTAGAACCATACCTGTCAGCATGCCTTCATCTACCACACAGCTGCCATCAATCAGAATGGCATCACATGGCATCTGTACTTTACTCCCTGTCAAAATTAATAAATCTCCAGGTACCAGGAAGCATGATTCCAGATCTTGGACTCCAGCTGAAAATGTGAGAAGACAAATGTTCAGTCAGCGTTTCTTCTTCACAAAAACACAGACTAACATCTGTCTAAGTCAGAAATCAATGAAAAAGCAACCAAGACATTTAAAAAAAGAAAAAAAAAAAAGAGGACATTCCTCTACTCCTACTCCTCTACATTGATTCAAAATTCAGAAGCAGTAAGAAAGAAAATGCTAAATTCAATTACATAAAAACAAAAACCAATTTTGTAGCAAAGAAAAAACAAACAGAAAATTAGAATATATATTTGAAACTTAAATTAGAGACAAAAGAATAATATTCCTAGTATATAAAGAGTTCCTTAAAAACAAGAGATGTATAGCAAACAGCTGTATAGCAAAATTGCTAGAGATATTAACAGATAGTTGACTCCCCCCAAAATGCAAGTGGCTTATCAATCATTTGAAAATATGCTCGTTCTTACTCATAATAAGATAAATGGAAATTCCTTCCTTCCTCCCTTCCATCATTCTTTCTTTCCATCCTTTCTTCCCTTCTGCTCACCTGACTACCTACCTGCATGCCCTCTCTACTTCTTTCCTTCCTTATTCAATCCAAAAACTATAGCTAGGATTGAGCACAATAGGCATACATTGGGGGGGGGGTGCTGTTTGGCATGGGGGATGCAAGTTGTCAAAGCCCATGGAGGGTGACAAGGACACCAATGGTGACAGTAGTCTGGTATAAATATTGAGATCTTAGCTGGGTGAAAAGGGTGTCCTTGAGAGGCTACAGCAGTGGCCTTGTATGGGGTATCAGAACCCAAACAGGGTGAGGAGGATGTCCGCATGGGAGTGAGGCATGAGCAGTGATGGAAGACTGGTTATATCCAGATAGGATTGATGCAGGAAGTAAATATACTGATGCTAATGGCAGCCAGGCTTCTCACTGAAGAAAGAAAGTTACAAACACTGAAAGTGATTAAACTAGAGTGAACCCTGTGGTATTGAACTGGAATTGGAGCTACCAGTGTAAACTCATAGATAGATAGATAGAGAGATACATACATACATGGATGGTGGATGGATGGATGGATGGGTGGATGGATGGATGGATGGATGGATGGATGGATGGATGAATGGATACATGGAGAGATGATACAAATGTAAATGTGTATGTATATATGAACATACACATATATAAGATGTTTGCTTGTCAGCTTATCTATGCATATATTTCCTAATTCTGTCCACTGAACCCCAATAATAATGAGCACACCCAAGACCTAGATCTGGCCCCTAAATTCCAGTCCCCCAAAAAAGAACCAGGGCTCCTTGAAGAAATGACTGATTCTGGAACTGGGTCAAGAAAAGTATAAGATAAGCTGGAACCTCTTGTTGTACCATAAAGTAAGGAAATACTCAAAGAATGATGGGAGCATGTCACAAAAATATCAAAACCAATTTAAAGGGCTAATGCCCAAATCTGGAACCATTTGAGCATCAAAATCAATAACGATAGTAGTAAACTATAACCCACTGATAAAATAAGAATTTATGAGCCCATACTGATAAAAATAAATGAATAAATAAATAGGAGAAAAGAAAGCTTTTCCTTACAGTGGAATGCCAACTAATTAAGGTAGAAGGAGAGACGAAATTACAAAAATCACCATTTGGCAACTATCAGAGTAACATTTAATTTAGCAAAGAAACATCAAAGGATGCTAAAACCAAAGGGTGGAAATTCGATGAAGATAGTTTATTTATATAGTCTGAAAGTATCCCTCAACAAAATAATCATTAATGACAAAGGGGGAAAGAATAAATTTACAGCAGGCACCATCTTAATTAACGAATCCAATTACCGACTTCACCAGTAATAGGGAAAATGGAAATTACATATCAAGTGAGAGGATGCAATGTGAACACAACATCACTTCTGTGATAGTCCAGCCAAAAACACATAACCTGAATCTAACTATGAGGAAACAGACAAATCCAAATTGAGGAACATTCTACAAACTAACCAGGGTCAAAAGAGTCAAGGTCATGAAAGTAAAGGAAAGATGAAGACGATTAAAGAGACACGGCAAGCACAGACATTGTGTGGTCTTGGATTGGATCCTTTTCCTATAAGAACATTATTGGGCCAGCTGGAAAAACTTGAATGTGGCCTGAGCATTAGATGGTGGTAATATATCAATCTTCCAAACCCAAAACCCATTGCTGTCGAGTCTATTCTAACTCAGCTACTCTATAAGACAGAGTAGAACTGCGCCAAGGGTTTCCAAGGCTGTAACTTTTACGGAGGCGCCCTCATGGAGCAGTGGTTAAGAATTATGGCTGCTAACCAAAAGGTCAGCAGTTCAAATCCACCAGCTGCTCCTTGGAAATCCTATGAGGCAATTCTACTCTGTCCTATAGGGTTGCTATGAGTCGGAATCAACTCGAACGCAACCAGTAATCTTTAC